CTATAAAGCATTATTTATAGTGGTCATATATAATGTGGAAACTGTGATTTTTTATGTTGTTTCTTTCCTAATAATTGTCTAAATAAATCAAATTATTTGACTATAGCAACTTTGTGTAACTTGGTTCTACCTTATATTTGCAGTGCTGGAGAAGAATGGAACGAGAATCCTGAGACATATGAATCCAGCTTCTACAAGAGGAGCCTGGACAATGAAATGTACATTTTTACTGCTCCTTCTTTCAATTGTGAGTTTTTACAAAGTAATAAATGCATGGTTTTTTTTTTACATTTGCTGGTATGAATTTGTGCAGAAGAGTTTTTTTTTTTTTTTATGGGTTCTGGTACTAAGCCATCCCTGCTTTCTGACTTTGGATGTTATCCCAACCCTACTGGCAGAGATCGCACGCTCAGGCTTCTGATATCACTTCAATCCTTTACTTGATCCCAGTGTGTTTGTAGCTCTCCTCTCCCCCTCCCTCTCCCCTCCCTCTTTGCTTTTCGTGTCACCTATATTTCCTGCTTGTTTCACTGATCCCTATAACACACACCTGTGCAGTTTAATGTCAGTGCAATGTAGCCATGCTTTTAGCTACACTCCACTGGCTTAACTCATGTATGAGCTGCATTGACTGCTCTCTGCTGGCATAGGTGATGGTAACTGGTCCTGTACAATGAATAATGGCTACTATTGTTAACATTTTCTCATCAGCTAACACATAAATAAAGGGGAAAAAAAGAAGGAGTGATACTGCTATCCAACATTTACCCTTGCCTCCTGTGTTTCTTCTCAATTTGCAGCCGAAGACAGAGAGTGCGTTCCCGACATGGGTATTTTAGTTAGCAAAGCAGTGGACATCACGATTGACCAAGTCACAATCAAACCAGCAGGTTGGTGAGACAAAGATGTGTTGATGCTTGACAATGCAACGCAATGTCCATTCATAGAAGTTATTTTTGTTTCTGCTTTGCAGTGGTTGGAGTGAAACTGAATATCTCATTCTGGATGAATTCTTTTATCAACGCTACACTCAAACTCAAAGTACGTGCCGTTCATGAAGAGAATCAGTTTATTGACTATCTTGATTTTTTTTTTCACCTTTATGTTTCACTTCTTATACTCAGTGCAAGGATGAAATCTGTGGCTGTCTTAGAAATGACAAGGTACAAAAAAAAAATCCATCTCCTCCCTATATGTTTTTTTTGTTTGTTTTTTAAACACAGAGGCTATGTTTGCTAAATATTTGTTCAACACTGTCTGTTCGACTATGTAGCACGTGGACTGTGTGATTCTTGATGACGGAGGCTTTCTGCTAATGTCAAATCAAGATGAGTACATCGACCTGGTGAGTCACTTGTTTGTTGGCATTATCGACATTTACCATCCTAAAACTATATAAATTAACTAAAAACTTATAGATAGAGATAGATGAGACTTAATCATCGACTTAATTAATCATTTGGGAGTTTCGTTCGGAAAATCGAGGCTCCGGCAGCAGTACAATCACAATACAAACAAGACTAGCAGCACACCATCAGAGAATAGGGAAAAAACCTGAACAGTGGATACTAGTAGATTAGTGGGTTAGTAGTAGTGGAGTAGTAGTAATAGTAGTAGCAGTAGTAGTGGTAGCTTAATAGATTGTCATTGCACTCTCCATTATTGAATTAAATTATGATAATGGGTACTAAAGTATATCCCACTCTCTCTATAAGGTCACTCTCCATTATTGAATTAAATTATGACAATGGATACTAAAGTATATCCCACTCTCTCTCTAAGGCATGTATATAATAATAATAATAATAATACATATTATTTCATAGGTGCCTTTCTGTATATAGAATAGATATTATTCTTCTGTTTTTTTTTTGTTTTGTTTTTTTTGCATCAATTCATGCAGATAGGTCAGTTCTTTGGAGAGGTTGATCCGGTGCTGATGATCAACCTGGTCAACTCTTCGCTGTTCTCATTTAACAAGACCTATGACTACCAATCTGTCTGCGACCCAGAGAAAGATGGGAAGGCTGCAGCAGGACCTCGCGGTGTCTATGTGGTCAGTCACGTTTATGATATAGTAAAGAAACCCACCTTGTTACCCGGTTACATCGTATATTTTGTTTCAATGCAGTGGTTCTCAATCATTTTTGTCATTGAAATACTATTGAGAATGTATATTTTTATCTGTACAAACCACTGTATGAGTCCCTGCCACCTAGTGACTGGAGGCTTTGTATACCTTTACATTTGGTGTTATTTTTTTTTAGAATGAAATAACTGAATTTATTTATATTTTTTTCTCTCTCCAGCCTTCCATTTCAGACATGCTTAGTATTGGCTGGTGGGCCTCTACTGCAGCCTGGTGAGTTACCAGTTTCTATTGTGGTGTATTTGTGTGCCTTAGAGTCCTTGATGGGTGTGCGATCTCTAACAGAAAAGTCTAACAGGGATGCATTTGCAACCAAGATTGCAGACGCACTGAAGAGGCAATGCAGTGTGAAAGTAAGACTTCGGTCTTACTATACGGAGTTTACAGTGTTCTCACTGTGTTCTGGGGTTTTTTCTGGGTTCCTTGTTTTACTTCCACAGATCTAAAACTTGCTCATTAGGAGATTAGGTCTATTTAACACTTAGTTTACTATTGGTACAGTATAAATGTGCAACCCTGCTAAGGAATAAGTGTTAGATAATGGGGGAAAAAAACGGATTCATCCCTAAGACAAAACTTCAAGAAACAAGCTGGAAAATGTAGTTTATGCCGTTCAATGCAGTGAGGAGTTCACGGACCTGTACTTTTGGGGAGACCAAAACACAGGCCCAACACAGGAGGGCCAACTCCTCAGGACAGGACTCAGCTGTTCACATACACACTCCTTTAAGGACAACAATGTGCACATTAACAGAGGAGGTGGACTCAGACACAACCTCATCACCCACATACAAAGCACTTTTAGGAATAATACCCAAAAGATTCACCTCAGTTTCACATAACAAAGAAGCCTCTTGGATGAGAGGTGAAAGATCTCCTTTTAGAAAGTTCATGTCCAGTTGCCAAACAACTAACCCTTTCAACCTTGACCATGACCTGGATGACTGAGAATCTTCATAGACATGTATAGACTTGCAAAAAAGCACACATTTATTTCACTGTATGATATGATCAAACATGATCATGGAAGGTTCAAGTCCACTAGCCTTTTTTTTTAACAATAGTATTTCCTCCTCACAGTAGTAGTTTAAATATATATATATATATATATATAATTTTTTTTTAAACATTGAATCTGTTTTTGTCTCTGTAAAACGCAGGCTTTTAGGTTCACATTATTTGCTTTATATCTCTGTGTATGACCAGCTGCATCTTAGCATCATGAACTGACTGAGGCTGGTGATGTCATTGTCTTGGGGCATATCCATCAAAGTATGTGTCAGTGCTTGTGTGCAGTGTCCGGTTACTGAATGTAAAGAGGCTTTGAAAGAACCTTTTGACTCATATATGACTCAGCTGGGATAATGTTTTTCATTTTCTGTACCTAGGACAATACTGCGGCAGGTTTTCTATTGTTTGATTTTTCCCAACCTTCTAAAAACAGGTAAGCAACAAAAGGTGACAGTCTAAAGTGTGAAGATTTGCCATACTCTTGATGCAAGCAGTGGAAATAACTGTGCAGAGACCAGACTAATCTCTGTTTAAAAATCAATTGTTTTCAGCTGAGTCAGCAGATGACGAAATTGCAGATGCCATGTTTAAGGAAAGCTGTATCACAGAGCAGACTCAGTACTTCTTTGACAATGATGAAAGATCCTACTCTGGAGTTTTGGACTGTGGAAATTGTTCCAGGTTAGTTTCACCCTATACACAAACACGTACACACACACATAACACAATATATATATATATGTGTGTGTTTGTGTATGTAGTACTTGCTCCTACTTCAGTTGACATGCCCACCCTTTAGATCTTCCTCTTGGACATTCTTCTGCTTATTATCTGTAGGAATAGCCTGATCTCAGGCAGCTGCTTTCTAATCCTTTTTAAACAGGCACAATAGCCTGATCTCAGGCAGCTGCTTTCTACTGTAATCCTTTTTAAACAGGCACAGATTACCTTCACAGTTCTCCTGTGGTATCAATTTGGTGTCAAGTTTGCATTTGTGTTGTAGTTTAATAACTACAGACACAGAAACAGAAATGATTGCAAACACCTGGTGTGTATTCTGTATGTCTCTGCAATATTCCATGGGGAACATATTTAATGGAAGCCTAAAGTAATAGCACACGTTACAACAAAAATGTATGTTCTCACTGTGTTCTGGGGTTTTTCTGGGTTCCTTGTTTTACTTCCACAGATCTAAAACTTGCTCATTAGGAGATTAGGTCTATTTAACACTTAGTTTACTATTGGTACAGTATAAATGTGCAACCCTGCTAAGGAATAAGTGTTAGATAATGGAAAAAAAACGGATTCATCCCTAAGACAAGACTCCAAGAAACAAGCTGGAAAATATGGTTTATGCCGTTCAATGCAGTGAGGAGTTCACGAACCTGTACTTTGGGGGAGACCAAACAACCGCTACACAGGCGCATGGCCCAACACAGGAGGGCCAACTCCTCAGGACAGGACTCAGCTGTTCAATACACACTCCTTTAAGGACAAAAATGTGCACATTTTGGCCAGGGAAGACAGATAGTTTGAGAGAGGGGTAAAAGAAGCCATTTTTTGTCAACCTGGGAAAACCATCACTCAACAGAGGAGGTGGACTCAGACACAACCTCATTACCCACATACAAAGCACTTTTAGGAATAATACCCAAAAGATTCACCTCAGTTTCACATAACAAAGAAGCCTCTTGGATGAGAGGTGAAAGATCTTCTTTTAGAAAGTTCATGTCCAGTTGCCTAACAACTAACCCTAACAAAAATGTATGTACTGAATGTACAACAAGTTTGTGTAGCTTTTCATTTGCTCTTGTCAAGTTCTAACCCAATCCATCCCTCTTACAATTGAACTACTACTGTATTCTTGTTAGTAATGTCTATGTACTGTTGAAGTAATTTAAATGCTGGTGCACTCCCATGTGTATGTGTCAGTACTAGGGGTGCGCTGGTACCTTAGCTTGTATAGATATTAAGGATGGCTTCATCCGATACTCTGGAATGGTCTGATGTTGGTCAAAACTTCACAAAAAAATTGTAGCCCTTTCAATCTGCTACACTATCAATTTTTTTTCATCCTCAGGCTGGGTTTGCGACTTATACTCAGGTGCGACTCATATATTAAACATATAATTTCTATATAATATATCTATCTTTCTCTATAATATATCCCATCCATCCATCCATACATTTTCATCCGCTTATCCGTTACCGGGTTGCGGGCGCAGCAGTCTCCGCCCAAATCACATTGCACCATACCTAAACCTTCCTGCAGGTGGTGAGCCCACTGGAAAGTACCAACCACCCTAACCGGGATTCGAACTTGCCCAGGAGGTGAACCCTGGGGTTTCACCCCAATGACAGAGACATTGCCTCTGGGCCAAAGCGCCACTCTATAATATATAATAATATATAATTTCGCATAAGTTCCTTATTTTCACACTGACAGCCGCTAAAGGGCACTGGTGCGACTTATACTCCGGAGCAACTTATAGTCCGGAAAATACAGTACTCATACAGTACTCATACTGTACTCATTTTATATTACTGCAAATGGTATTAGGACAACCCTAAATTGTTTTTGTTACTAACTTTTAATTTTCTAGTATTGGTGCATGTTTCTGTAAATGATGTGTATGACTCCTTAGGATGTATCGTGCAGAGAAGCTGCCAAGCACAAATCTGGTGTTCCTGATCACTGATGCCAAAGCAACATGTTTGTCATGTGACCCCAGACCCCTGAGACAAGCAGAGCAACCTTGTATCCTTTTCACTCAACTTCCTCTCTTCTTTGTCTTCATTCTTGTTCCCGTGGCTGCTTGTCAAAAAATATGTTAATCTATCATAAGAGCACACACGTGGATTTTTCAGTAGATTTGTTCCTAAATGTCAAACGGTGAACAGTACAGCAGATGAACACCATATGACTGCGTCTCCAGTTACTAACAGCTTCAATTTCTTCAATTGCGTTTATTTGGCCAGTGTGCTGCCATCAACTTGAATTAGGGTTGAGGGCAGGGATGTGTGTGTGTGAGGACAATAGGCGTGTGTTTATGCGTGTTCGGAATCACTTTTACAGATGTTCTTCAAGTGTCACTTCCTGACTTTGTAACTTTGAAGGTGTTACCATCAGAGGTCACCATGCAGCCACAGCAGTGTCCTTCAGTGGTGACGGTCGGGGACACTAATGCACTTGAAACTTTTGACAAAAATCTAAAAAAATACATACTGAATGCCTTTGATGATCAAAGGCATTCAGTATGTATTTTTTTAGATTGTACAGTATAAGAGTGCCTCCCTTTAGAGATTTCTTTTAAACTTTAATCAGAACAACAAAGATCAGGAAATGCATTAGTCTGTAATCATTGGCTGCATGTACGTAAATCTGTGAGTCTAATCAAATGGTTATGGTGAAAAGTTTGCAGCATGGTTTTCATGAAAACATTTCTTAAGAGCAATTCTGCAGCTGAAGGTCCAGATCCTTGTGAGCTGGCTCGGAACCCTAGATACCGCAAAGGGCCGGATGTGTGTTTTGACAACAATGAAGACGTAAGTAACATCCACACATGTGGCTTTTTTCTAACAGGAAATGATGGAGGTCGGCTTTTACTAATTTCTGCCTGGTTTTACTCAGTGCTAGGCTTTCGAGCTAGAAAGATAAAAAGCTTGGCATGCTTGTTTGTCTGCCACTCTTCTTATCAATAATTCATTTTAGTGTCCTTGACCTTTCAACATATTTGTTGTCTCTTTGAATGTTGGTTTAATTATTTTAATCTATTTTTTAATCTGCCACCCAAAGAACTACAATCAGTCTCTTTAGTGACTCTTACAAACTTCAGTTTTTCATTATTGGTCAATTATTTTGTTAATGTTTTCATGAAATCCGTATGTTTCCATTTACAAAGTAAAACTATGCCTCATAAAGTAGTTCTTGTTTAAAGTGACCTAATAAACAAAGGAACATGGAGAAATGCTCTAAGTCATTTTGTATAATGAATTTCTACTTGTTTGAAAAGGACTGCCTTTTATTGTGCTGTCATCTCATATATCACAAATACATGATAGGACCAAAGTCTCTTCTCTTACATGTTTACATTATGTGGAGAAGAGCAAGCAGAAAGGCCAGGAAGTATTGAGGAAGTAGGTGGACAGATGAAAGTAGGGCTGCTTCCTGCAGTTTTGTTTGGCAGATGTTCCTTGCATGTATGATATAAAACAAATGTAACTCCAATGGTACTTGGAAAATAATCCTATACTAGATTATCTTCCTGTGTAGATGTTAACATCCGTTCGGTTCACAAAGTGCATCCTTTCAAACTAAACAACAAGTAAAAACCCTTAAATGTTTATTCCATTTAACAGTTAAAAATTCTTTCAACACAAATACCAGTTGTATTTACTTAGCCCAGTCGTGGGCAAACTTTTTGACTCAGCTTTCAACACAAATACCAGTTGTATTTATTTAGCCCAGTCGTGGGCATACTTTTTGACTCACGTAAATTGAACAGGGGGGCCGGGTCAGGAGCAGATAGATGGAGCATCCGTGTGAACTAAAATAAATGACATGTAAAAGTCATGCATAAAGGCTAAAATGCTTTTATCATTTTCTACACCATCTATTGGGGAAATGTGGGTATTGCAGGGAAAAGGCAGAAGTATAATGATAATAAAATTAGATATATAATTTGGAAAAGTTTGGTCGGCCAGATTAAAAAGGTGAATGGGCCACATCTGGCCCCCGGACCTTAGTTTGCCCATGCCTGACTTAGACAGTGGTTTCCAAACTTCCTCTGCTGGGCCCCCCTTTGGTTCATAAGAAGATTTTTGCATCCCCTACCAAAAAAAAAGCAAGTAAGCTGTAACTTATTTTCACTTCAAACTAGAGCTGGGTGAATAATCCAAAATTTGAGTTATATTACGATGGCTTCCCTCGACCTTGAAAACAAGACCATCAAAATAAAACAATTATTGTGCCAATTGTGTGATTGCAATGCAACAGTACACACTACAGCTGTGCGCTGCATATTTATATATATTTTTTTCAGTTTATCTTAGTTTATTTTCTTTGTCACACGTTCAATACAGTGTAAAGTTTGATCAAATCAAATTTTCAGATCAATGGTAATGATAATCGTTTTGATGAATAGCCATGATTTCAATAAGAATCTTGGCAGCTGGTAACTTGGCAGCTGATGGACTTGAACCTGATGCTTTCCTGACCCAAGTCCGCTTCCTTAACCACTAAGCCACTACTGCCCCTTTATTTTTTTATTTTTTTTTTTGGAAAGGCCATAATCAAGCAGCCCTACTTCACTCACAGTAACAATACTAGCCCGACATTTCTGATTTTAAATACAGCAGGGGTCACCCACTGGGGCTGGACACCAATGTTCCCTCTAATCTTTCATGTTTTGGGGCATATAGGCCATAATCAAGCAGCCCTACTTCACACACAGTAACAATACTAGCCCAACATTTCTGATTTTAAATACGAACAGCAGGGGTCACCCACTGGGGCTGGACACCAATGTTCCCTCTAATTTTTCATGTTTTGGGGCATAGACACAAGTGGCCACACACCAGTATCACACTTTTCGTTCAAAACCTGGATCTTATCAAGTTACATGGATTATTAAAAGAATTAAATTAAGGCAGCACTTTCCATTAAAATGAACAAGACAAAAATCTTGTTGTTCATCAGGTGTGTAGTATGTTATATGTGAGCGTCCTGTATTTGGCCTAGGTGAAGTCCAGTTGTGGTCTGGCTGAGGGGTCTTGCTCTAGAGGAAGTGAGACATATGTACCTGACATAACACTCACTTGTACACATTAGAACCCATTCACATTTTGCACAACGACGTGTGCTGTAGCTTGTGATACAGTGTAGATTCCTGTAAAACTTTGTATGCAAAAATATAAACTTAAATGTTACCTTATTTTTCACATCTGTTGATGACAAACTACTTTTTCAAAGCCGACTTCTTACTCAAAAAAAAAAATCTCACCCAGTTTTACTACTTGTTCTTCTGTTTGCACATACTCCGATAGCCATACCATCTCAAAAGAACCGCAATTCTTTTTTTACTTTGACTTGGTGAGTGGACGTGTCGCTGCCCGTTCGTTAGCATTTACGTCATTTACGCAGGGCACATATGCAAGCACTGTCAATTGGCTGCGTAGCGTAAGTGAACCATCTTGTATCATTGGCTGGACACCTGTCACTCAGTGAGATGCATCATTATGTTATTTTTTCAGATCAATACTTAATAGAGATAATACTTACAACACAATTTATGTTGAATTTAGATTTTATGCACTGCACAGATTTTTTTGTGTGCTGAGAATGTTCGAGCAGTGCGCACTATATAATAAATATAACATAATAAATTGCTCGTTTGGGTTTTTTTTTTGTTTTTTTTGTTATTGGAATCCAGACACAGGCTGGACTGGATGGATAGGAATGCTGGATTTGGCCAGTTGATGATCACTGATGTACTGTATGTCAAATGTTACAATATAATGTATTAACAATTTCATTGTTCAACAGGAGGATGATTCTGATTGTGGAGGAGGAGACGGCTTAAGGCCATATATTTGGACAATGTTTGGGATTCAAATGCTGCTTCTTTGGCCTATCATAACTTTACAACAATTATGACCTCAAACACACACACACACACTTACACACACAAACAAGTCAAGATCTCCTTCCTTAACTGGAAAGATAACCTTGATCATGTCATCCAGGATATATGCAGTTTTTTTTAACAGGACTTTTTTTTTTTTTCTAAATTTTTTTCCTCATCTATATTTTTACACCTACAGACAAAGTGACTTTACTCAGCTGCACATATTTTTTAACATATAGAGACATACTGTATGTATTCCTCAATACTCTCTTATGGTGCAAGAGTTAAGAGCTAATCAAACCCTTTAATTCTGCCACATTTTGTTTTCTGATTTAAAAAGTGGAGATTAAGGCGATGCCCCACTATGCCAACTGAATTCAAAGACTGTATGCTCACTGACAGCATTGATATGTGTAGTTGTAAGTATTGTTGATTGCTTCTTATATATATGTTTTTTTTTTTTTTTAATGTCCTGTACTTAACTACCGTGTATGGTTTTAAGTGGTAAATCAGCAAGTATTTCGTTACCAGTTGTCATAGCGGCATGTGCGCAGCACAAAGCTAAAGAAACCAACCAATGTTTTGACACCAAAGCTCTGTGTTCACCACCATGAACTGTACCACAGTTGACCTTCATTTTGATTCGTTCCCAGTGTGTCGTTGATGTGATTACATTTGTTTTTAGCTAGAATTCTTAATGCTTCACCTTATTAGTGGCTTTCAGGAAACCCACTATCTATTTGAATCCTATGTGAAATTTGTCACAGTATAAAAATTTGGTTGTCTTGAATTTCAACCAGGGATGTCCGATATTAACTTTTTGCCAACATACGATATGCCGATATTGTCCAAACACTTAATTTCCAATTCTGATATCAATCGATACCGATATAGGCCTGGTAGTATTTATTTATTTATCTGTACAAACCACCACAAGGCCAACCGGTAGTCGTCCTCCATGGCCTCCCCAAACTTTCCCAGACCCGAGTTTTTGCTTCCGTGACTACCCGAGCCGCCGTCCGCTTGGCCTGTCTGTACCCGTCGGCTGCCTCAGGAGTCCCACAGACCAACCAGGCTCGGTAGGACTCCTTCTTGCTTGCTTGACGACTTCCCTTACCTCCAATGTCCACCACCGGGTTCGGGGATTGTCGCCATGACAGGGACCGGAGACCTTAAGGCCACAGCTTTGGACAGCTGCGCCAACAATGGAAGTGGAGAACATAGTCCACTCAGACTCGATGTCTCCAGCCTCCCTCGGGACCTGTTCAAAGCTCTCCCGGAGGTGGGAGTTGAAGGCCCCCCTCACAGGGGATTCCGCCAGACGTTCCCAACAGACCCTCACGTTTGGGTCTGCCAGGTCTCTCCAGCTTTGCCCCCCTAAGCGGAGCCAACCCCAAACCCGAC